GAAGCAGGCTCCAGGCTCTGGGCCATCAGCACAGAGCCCGACGCGGGGCTCGAACTCACAGACCGTGAGATCATGACCTGCGCTGAAGTCGGACGCTCAACCGACTGAGCCACCCAGGCGCCCCCAGAGCGATACTTTTAAATGCATAAAATAAAAGTGTCCGAACGCCCAACGATCTTGCCATTGCGGTCAAAATACTCAATATTAGATCTGTGCTACGGTTGTAGCTTTGTCCAGTGGTGGGTCCGAGGATGTCCGTCATTCTGAGGTCCCGATGAGCAGAAACAGAATAAGATACTGTACCGCCTGCACTGTGGTATGGAAATACTGGTGATTTCTAGGGGTTAATGGAGGGGCGGGATGAGCTAAGAGTGCTATGGTTTGTGGCCCACGTTCGTCATCGAAGGAAATGCCAAATTTTACTTACAGGTTAGCAAAGTTCGTGGGCCCCCCTGAATTCTCTTTGCAGACCCTGTGGTCCCCACTAAGGACCCCTGACCTAGGGAGAGAACATGCAGAGAGACTAAGGCCCAGAACTGGGCTGAGAGCCCCCAACATGTAGAAGCCTGGTAAAGGAGGGGGCAGGGCGGGGGTGACCACGGATAGGAGGACAGCTAGGAGAAAGGAGCATCTGGAAAGTGTTTCCAGGACGCGGGTGTGGCCATCTGGGCTAACTGCTGCTGAGGCGGAGAGTCAGAGGCCATGGAAGGGTCCCTCCATCCAGGAGACGATGACCAGGCGGGTTAAGGAGGGAAGGGGGAGGGAGGGCAGAGAACACCGAATTCTACAGTCTGGGTTATATTTGTTTTTCTTGAACATGGCAAATACACAGACTGCCTTATATTATTCTTTAAGCTTTCTTGTATGCACACCATAATAACATTGTTAATGTTTTTAGAGGCGAGGGTGGTCATGGAGGCAAGGAAACGGAGGAGCTTGTTGAAGAAGTTTTGCTGTTGAGGGGACCGGAGAAATTGGAGACGCAGTTGGAGGGACTGTGGGGTCAAGAATTTGTTTTTAGATGGAAGCGGTTGGATCACGCTTGTGTGTTACAGGGAACAGTGGGGCGGGGCGGGGCGGGGTGGGGGTGGGGTGCTGATGATGCAGGGAAGGAAGGAACGGGCCAATATGACGAAGACTTGAGAGGCTCCCATGTCTCCCTGGTCCTCAGTCCCTTTTGTGACTGCCACCCCAGTTCTCACACTTGAGCAGCAGATTCACCTGGGCGGCTGGGCGCCACCCCAGAGTGTCTGCCTCGGTAGGTCTGGGGTGGGACCTAGAAATTTGCATTTTTAACAAGCTCCAAGGGCCACACTTTGAGAAGCCCTGCTGTAGTCAATACCAGCACCACCCACATGCGCCCCCTCCAGGATCTGATGTTGCACTACAAGGGCACACACTCCAAATGATCACAGTGGGGAGGGGGGGATTGGGAAGGGGGGACAGCAGGAGAGGGGGCGGCAGGGGGCTGGGGGCAGGGAAAGGGGCAGACTGTTAAGATGCAAGAGGGGAGAAGAGACCGAGGAGGAAGCAGCCAGAGCCTGCCTGCCCCCACTCCAGCCAAGGTCACCACCCCTCCCTGGGGAATGCCTGTCTTCCCAGGGATCCTGGGAGCTGCCCTGCCAGACCTCCTGGAAGACTAAGTGAGAGGGCAAGGGACGGAGCCAGGGCCAGGGGGTAGGGATGATGGCCAGAGGCCAGGATGTGTGCAGAATGGAGAGAGAATAGAGGAGGGGCGCCAGCTCTCTGCCTGCGGGCACCGAGCCCTGAGAACACGCTGTACACCTTTGCAACTCGATCCTGGTCTCATGCCAGACCAGCTTCAACTGCTCTTGGGAAAGAGATTAGCCCGTGGGATCCCAGAACATCCTAGCTGAGAGAACCCTTGGAGACTGTCCGGTTCAGCCCATTTGGCAGATGGAGGGGAGCAGAAAATAGAAAAGTCCAGCTTGATGGATAGACCTGCAGACTCTCCTGCAGGGAAGGATACATCCCCACTCCCTGATGGCTGGGTAATGGGCATGACATTGGGGGCTATTCTCTGACCCTTGTAGCTCCCCTTTTTCTATCAATTCATTGAACTCATATTTATTGAGCGCCTACTGTGCGCTAAGCATTGTGCTAGACACAGAGATAATGGTTGAGGAAGACCAAGTCTCCAGCTTCATGGAATTGACATTCCAAGGGTAAAGCAGACAACTGACAGATAAATATGTAATACAAAGTCAGGGAGTCGTAAGTGGTAGGAAGAGACCTGAAATGACACGAGGGAGTGAGGCATGCAGATGGGGATGAGATGGAGGGAGTTTCCAGGCAGAGGGAACAGCATGTGCAAAGGCCCTGAAGCAGAGGTATGCTTGCTGTGTTGGAGGGGTGTCACAGAGGCCAGTGATCTGGAGCAGGGTGAGGGAGAGGACTGGGAGACGAAATCAGAGCGGGAACAGAAGGCTGGATCATGGAGGAAGCTGAAGTCATAGGGAGGACTTTGGCTTTTCCTCTAAGATAGGAATTCTGAGAGGGTTTCTTTCTAGCAGAGGAGGATTTCGATTTGACTTAGGTTTAACAAGATGCCTCTGGCTGCTGAGTAGAGGATGGCTTGTGCATGGGACCAGGGTGGAGGCAGAGAGGCCAGGGAGGAAGCTACTGGGATGGTCCAGGTGAGAGGTTAGGGTGGCCCGGCCTGGCAGAGAGGCCTTCCCTGGTTGCTTTTTGCCCTTCATGGAGATGCAGGAAAGGACAGGAGCCTTCCTCCAGCCCTTACCCATGACCCCGGCCCACGGTCTCCCCACAGCTAGAAAGGTACATCCAGATGAACTTGAGGTCAGAGCTGGCACAGGTCCAACAGCACATGGTCCAGAACCAGACGGCCACCATGCTGGAGCTAGGCACCAGCCTCTTGAACCAGACCACGGCCCAGACCCGCAAGCTGACTGATGTGGAGGCTCAGGTATGGAGGGCGAGCAGGTGGCGTGGGGGGGAGGGGGAGGGGGGAGGCTGTGGCCAGCCGGGCCGGCTCACAGCCCAGGTCATCTTGCCTCAGCCTCTATCCCTGGCTCAGGTCTGGACCTCCTCTGGGCCTGTAGCACCCTGGGCCCCTTCCCTGATGACCCGATTACATGAGCACCAGGCCACGAGCCCTGGGGGCAGACACCGGGTGTGGTGCTTCTGCCTCTGTGACTCCAGGGACACTCCAGGTCTGCGCTGGGCACTGGAATGAGCCCTCAGGGGGCTCAGAGGGCTCCCGGGGAGAGATGGCTAATAAACAATTCACTCAACCTCAAGAGCAACGGAAGGGGAGGGAGGGAGCAAACACATAAACGAACGGGAGGGTGAGTAAGTGAATGGATAAAAAGATCGAATGACAAATAGGCATGTGTCCGTTGAATCCCTACTATGTGCAGGCACTGTTGGAGATGCCCGGTTCCGGGTTATAGCAGTAAATGAAACAGGCATGCATCCCGACCCTTGTGGACCTCCCTTTCCAATGACCACCAGGGAAATGAACAGGAAGAATAACTTGCACGTGTCAGGGGGTGACCGTGTCCAGGAGAAAACAGCCTGGGCAGGGGAGAGGGAGGGCGCACTAGGGTGCAGGGATGGCTTGCGAGTTTAGACGGTGAAGCCAGGAAGGCACTGCGGAGAAGGTAGGATGGGAGCCAGGCTTACTCAGAGTAGGCCCAGTGGTGGGACTGGGCCGGCAAGCTCCAGGAACATCAGGGTGGTCAGTGTGGCTGGAACGACCAGGGCGAGAGGGGTGGGCAAGGGTGCAGAGAGAGGCACTGGGGGCAGACGACAGCGCGGGGCACTGAAGGCCATGATGGCCATCTGGAAGGTGGATCTGACAGGACTTGGTGATAGATTAGATTGGGGTGGGGAGGGGGTGCTCAAGGGCGACTCCTCCTGGGGCCTGAGCAGCCAGAAGAACGGAACTGTCATGCGCAGTGATGGGGAAGAGCAAACTCAGAAGGCAGATCATAAACTCAGGGCCTGTGAGTGAGCGAGTGAGCGACCGTAGAAACTAACTGCAGCGAGGATAGAAATAAGTCAGCGAGTTTCTGGAATGGCAGAGCCCCCGGGCAGGTGGACGGCGGCCGAGGCGCGTTCCCGCAGGGCTCGCGCAGCCCCCTACCCCTTCCTGTTTGCCGGGACAGGTCCTGAACCAGACGTCGCGCATGGAGATCCAGCTCCTGGAGACTTCGCTGTCCACCAACAAGCTGGAGAAACAGCTGCTACTGCAGGGTCACGAGCTGCACCGGCTGCAGGGCCGCAACAAGTGGGCACCAGCATCCTGGCACGGGGCCGGGGACAGGGCTGGGGAGCGAGGGCCAGCCCGGGACCCACGTGGGGTTGGGACCCAGGGTGGGCGCCGGGGCCGGGGCCGGGGCCGGGGCGGGGGCCGG